TCGATTCTTCTGTGTCGGGGTACAATTTAGAGCTTGAAAGCCCAATAGGTTTCTAAATCCTACATAAAGCACGATAAGAAATCAATATATATATATATATATATATATATATATATATATATATATATATATATATATCACCAATCAATTTATAATAATAGAAATCATTATGATCATAATTTTGTGCATAAATAATAAACATATGTATTAACAAAAAAACCTATGAAATAGTTTAACTGTACGATCCGAAAGCTAGTAAATCAGCATGTGTGTCAAATCAATAAAACAATCATCATTGCAATAAAATTAAATAAAAAAGAAAATCATGTTAATCGGTAGAACCAAAGCCTCAATGAAGACCGTCAAAACCATATCAATATAGTTGTTGCGTCCAGGAGTATTCGCGGCGGTAGAGAAATATAAAGTTTATCGTCTTAGCGTTGTACGAAAATCCGGAACGCAATCAGATAAGAGATAGGGTCTAGCATTTATGAGACACCAAGATTTTTACGTGGCAAACCCTTGAAAAAGGGGAAAAACCACGGGGCCTAGCCCAGTTTGAATGAATCCATCCAGTCGATTACAAATGAGGCCCTTCCTTGGGAGAAGGCCTTAGCTTAATGTACATTTTATAGAGTACATTACATGATATGAATACAAAGAATCATTATTGACATGTTCGTTTGGTCGGGAGGATCGTAGTCGGCGGGCGACGTAAGTCAGAAGAACCGTAGTCGGCTGGCGACGGAGGTCGGAAGGGCTGTAGTCGGTGGGGACGGAGGTCGGAAGGGCTGTAGTCGGTGGGCGACGTAAGTCAGGAGGACCGTAGTCGGCGGGCGACGGAGGTCGGAAAGACTGTAGTTTGACGACGAAGATCAGAAGGACAGCGTCAGGTAAAAGTCCAACAATGGAAAGAAATCCATCTTTGCGTAGACATCCAGCGAAGTCTGATAACCAGTAGAAGTCCGGCATCGGGTAGAAACTTGGCGAAGAGTGAAGTTGCGACGTCGGGTAGAAATCCAACGTCTGTTGGTGGCAGAGGAGAACTCCGGCCTCACTTGGGCGGAGTTTCGGTGTCAGAAGGGAACTCTGTTGTAAATTGAGAAAAATTTCCACATCCCGTGGAAGTTGGAAAGAATTCTGGCGTTCTCCCAAATATTCGGCAGAATCTCGACGTGTTCGGGCGGTGGGAAGAGCTTCGGCGGTGGTCGAGGAGGAGAGGATTCTCCTTTTCCCCTTTCTCCTCTTCTTCTCTTCTTCTTCTCTCTCTTCACTTGAGTCCCTTTGTGTAGAATGAGGGCTCTATTTATAATTTTTCTGGAGTGGCATAGCCCGTAAATAGGCGTGAGATCAGGGGCGAATTGGGAGTGGTTTATATGGACGGCCGATATCGAATCCTTTGATCATGCACTGTTCGTTGGACATTTGGAGGCCTTAATGATGTCGAAATTCGGCGATTCTGGGCTCGTTGGGTTCGTCTCGTCGAGCCGCTCGATTTGAGTATAAACTCGTTAAAATCGGAGACCATTTAGTAACTCAAATTGCGGTTTGAACCTTCCAACAGCGCTTCGGGTCCTTGATTCGGACCCATTTGGGCTCGGATTGGGTCGAATTTGGTGTCGTTGGGTTCGTATTTCCGAGACGCTCAGTTTGACTGTAAGTTTGCTAAAATCGGAGTTCAGGTGCTCCCGGATTTAATCTTTGAAGTTTCCAACTTGATTTTTGCCTCGAGATTCGTGTTGCATGACGTATCAATAGTAAAATAATGTAATAGTATACATTAATTATCCAATTATCTTATATCAGCATTAGATTAGTGTCATAATCATATGTTTATTATATCACATAATTAGTAACAATGAATCAATAAACAAAAATAGTATCAATAAATCAATATCAATATTAGTGAATCAATAACACTAGTGTTGATGATTGTAACAATAGAGTAATACAATAATAATAACCATAATGTCGTATAGTAATAATGAATCAATAACATGCATTCTAATAATCAAACTAAACAAGAATATAGTTTTGACAAAGTAGTGTTTTTCTAGTTGTGAGTTGGTTGTTAGTAATTGTTGGCTCAATAAAAAGAGTCAGCACTTCTCGCCCGTCGGCACAACAATAACTTTTTATAATTCACAATTAATAAATCAAGTGAATTAGTAGAGGTTAATATCAAATCATAATATTTAAAAGAAAATCCAATGACACTAGTCAGTTTTCAGCCAACATTAAAAAAACTATCTTTTTACTTGTCCTCACACATTATTATTATAGTATTATAACTATAATAGCAACCTACTATTACCTAAGCACATACCAATTTTCATTCATAATGCTTGTATTAAAAATATACTTAAATAAAAAACACACAAATTTCTATTTAGTGCAAATTGTATAAGAAACAATAACATCTATTTTATCTTGTGAAATTCATAAATGTTCCAAACAAAATATCCAGAATAATCAATATGCTAAGATATTAAAAGTTGTGCAATAAATGTCTAATAAATTTGGAGAAAATCTAATAAATTCAATTTAAAAGAAATCAACCAGATGAAATCAAAATCTTTGAAAATAGAAGTAGAGAATAAGTACTTATCCCAATCTAAAAAATTCTCGTAAAAATGGCAAAGCGATCCAACGAGAAAAAAATCATTTGTTTTGTTTCTCTCCACATTTACTCCCCTTCTCTTTTGGTTCCTTCTCATGCAAGATAGCGCTAACAGTGGTGAGAGAGGTTAGTGAGTGGTATTTATATACAGTGTTGCATGTTGAATATAGAATAATTTTAGAACAAAGGTTTTAATGCTGTGGTGGCATTTTCTATCATGACTAAGTGACGTAGCGCTCAAAGGAACAGCATCACTGCGCTTAAGTTAATTAAAACTAAAATTCAGATTTATATTTTAAAATTATTTTAAATTTTTTTGGGTTGTTATAATTAGTCTCTACCATGCATTGAATAACTTAAGTTGATAAAGAAAACTACACTCCACACCACATAATAGTTATGATAAAAAAAAAAACAGTTTAATCACAACAATGATAATAGAATTTCATTTTAGTTAGCATAAATTAAATGGAAGTATAATATTACTAAGCTCATGATAAAATGAACAAATAACATGATTAAGTTAATGATTTTAAAATTAATATTAACTATGTAAAATTATGGTGTTAATTCCCGGCAATGATATTAAAAACTTAATAGGCTAATACAATAATACACAAGCACATGCGCCATTTCAAGTAATAAAGTGATAAGAAAGTATCGTTCCCTCAAGGAATAAGTTACTATCCTTACATGTTAAGTGCTAATCTTTATAAATTATTAATGTATCTTTCCATTTCAAGTAATAAAGTGATAAAAAATGTTTTTTCAAGCATGAAAAGAAAAAACTATAGATCTTTTCTAAGGGTTTTATAATTTTATAATGAATATGATTTTATGATTGATTTAGTAATTATGTGTATGTTGAATCGATCTGTTAAGTTTAATTGTAAATTAGAGTATTAATAGTTCCACATCTTTGTTGAGCTCATTGGAATTCTAGTGAAGTTATGATGAGATGTACCATGCATTAACCACTTGTTTCTTAACATGAACATGATCCTCTTAATCATTCTAAAATCCTAAAATATACATATGTTTATTTCTAGGATTTTATTCAAAATTTTCTGTTTGTTCTACTATAATTTCTATCGATAACATAGATCACACTAAGTTTTAAGTTTGTGAAGAAAAAAAGAGCTAAAGGAAGTCCATAGAAATATGAAATAATTATTGACAATATAAGTGTGTGTACCTAAGCTACATTAAACACAACATCAAAATCAAAAAAAAAATTCAAAAAAAATTCTAACCTCTAATTTTCATTTTTTTAAAAAATAAAAATAATAACATTCATTTCACTTCAAAATAAGAGTAATAGTAAAAATATTCAAAGATACAAATTGACTGTAAATCAAATCATTCCTTCATATGAAGGCTTGCCCTCAATCTACTTTCATACTTTTCCACTCTCATTGTCGTGACTACTAAAGAAATGCAAAAACAATAGAGATTAGGGATAAGGAAATAGGACAGTTCCATTTGCGGAACCTTCTCCACTATAGTTCACACTTAATTGGGGCAAGACCATTACATGAAACATACACTGCATCCGACATATCTCCACTTGAACGGATTATCACTTCGAGAATCTCTGTCGACTACGTTGGAGGAAGCTATAATCCTGACAAAAAAAAGCATGAGTTTATTTGTCCTGTAAGTAAAGAGATAAAAACTTCATCATGTATAAATGATCTGGTACCTCCAATGCCTATGTTGGCCTTCCCAACAAAAATATACATGATGATTTTTCATAACAACAATGTAGTCCGAAATATTATCGCCATCCTCCACATTTCTCATCCTCTTCATTGCAAGATATTGACAGCTGGACCAGCCGTTCATGTACAAAAATGACCCATATCCTCCTCGGAGAGAAAAGGTCTCTGCTAATGAAATGCAAAATAATTAAAAAAGGGAAACTTACATACATATCATTTTATTTCATGTTATTTACATATATAACACTCAAAACATTAATTTTACATGTCTACCACTCATATACATCTTTAATATCAAATATACCACTCATATAATTCATTTCTACCATTCATATGAACTTATAAACTTTAATATTTTATTCCATGCATCCAAATTTGTTCTATGAGTGATATGCATGTAATATTAATATTTTGGGTATTAGATATGTAAATAGCATAAAATAAAATGATATTTATATAAATCTCCCTTAAAAAATGCAAAAAATAATCTATTTCTTCTCCAACAATAGGCCACCGTTCTCGAGCAAATTATTAGATCCAGACACTGGACAGAGAATTATCTATCTACAGTGATTGAAAACAAAAAAGGTTGTTTGAAAATTATTTAGAAGATGATGATGAATTGGAAGAACCTAATGATCAACCCAAGCCTACTTATGCTGATGAGGCAATTCATCCTTCTAATAGAATCCAATTCGATGAGGATGATTATGTTGCTGAAAAAAATGTGGAGCCTTATGAAAGTGGAGTGATTACAGAGAATTTGCCAGCAGGATCTAGTAATTGTTCAAGAGATGTCAATATTAGAATTAATGAGTTTTGCAAGAGCTTGCTAAATTGCCCATGAAATCATCTTCACCTCTACTACTTAAAGCAGAATTATTGCAACTTAATATTGAATGCCCTGTAGATACCATGAGTTATATTGTTGATAATATTAGAATCCCCTGTCTTCTCTATTTTGTTAAGCAAGCGAGAAGAATTATAGACAAAAGTAGAATTAAAACAGGTTATAAGCTCCGAGAGGGTCTATATCATTCAACAAACAAAGTATTGGAAGACTTTATATATGTGCTAAAGAAATGTCTTCCATCTCTTCTTTTGAAAAATGACCAGTCAACAGCTTCAGGGTATATATTTAATAACAGGCAAGGTGGAAGGAGCAAGAGGAAAATTAGTGGATCAAGGGAGATAAAGGCTGCAGCTAAAAAATTGTCTATGCCTGCTATCCAATCTAAGTTTCAAATTTTGCTTTATACTCAGTTATATGAGTTAAGGTCAAGGTTCAAACACATAGAAGTCTCATGCACAACACCTGTGATGAGTAAGTTCACAACCAACGGGCAAACAACTCACAATTTGGGGGATATCAACTTGACTCCAAATCAGGGTAGCAGGAATGCAATGGAACTTGCTTTTCACAGTGTTGCTGATTAGTTCAGCTTGGTGGACATAGATAATAACTTTGGGGTGGACTCTCCTGCTGAATTACAAAATGGTCTTGTTCCTTTTGTTGGGGGTGGTATGATTGTTCCATGTAATCGATCATTAGAACAAGTTAGGCAAAAACCCCACAGAGCTGAAGTGCTATTGGATCCAGAGACAAATAGACTGTGGAGATCTTTGCAGGAAAATGAAGGTGATGACAATGTTGAAGGCATGGATTCATGCAATCTAAAGTGGTGGGAGAATGAAAGACGCGTTTTCGTTGGACGTGCTAAATCTTTCACTGCCCGCATGAATCTCATTTTAGGTGTATCATCATTGCCTTTGTACATTATTCTCAGCATAATATCTAATGTGTTTCATTTTCTTATTTACGCTGAAAAATTAGACTATTTTAATGGAATTTCTTGGGAATTGTTAATTTGTTTTGATAATTATACAATGATAAAATACTGATTTTTCTTAGATAAGTAAACTCTAACTTCAAAGTACATTCAGAAAATGAACTATTCAAATGTTAGAATATGTTGAATTTATTTGTACAGTAATCTGTTGAAACAATGTTAGAAGTGCATGATTATTGTTTTCAAAAGCTACACTTGAATAGACCCAATTATGGTTCATTTATTTTGCTATCACCAAGTCGATGATATTTGTTGAAAAGGAGCATAAATAGCTGCATACTTAACTGCTTTATCTTTCTACAGGTGAGAGGAGGTTCTCTCCTTGGAAAGGGTCAATTGTGGACTCTGTGGTTGGCGTTCTTATTACCCAAAATGTATCAGATCATTTGTCAAGGTAGCAATCTTATTATATAAGTCTAATACAAAATGATTTAATTCTTCGTAACCATATGTGGTATTTGTAAATGTACCCTTACGTGCTATAATATATGCATATACCTCCTTGCAATGGCTGCTATTCACTTACGCGTGGACATAAGTCTTAGAGATTAGTTAACCGTTAATGGGAGGCTATGCATGTATTTCTCAACACGTCAGGGTTATTTGGGATGTCAATAATTTCTCTACCAATGTGTACCACATTACCCTCTGTTCAAGTTGGCCTATCCCAGATCTTCTCTAAGCTTTTGGACCTATTACTGTGTAAAGTTTTGAAGTTCTTTCTTGGATTTTTGTAGATACCTATTCCAAATGAAAGTTAATTTGTATTTCATTTGAGAAAAGGATCAAAATAATCTCTTGACTCTTGACTCTTTCTGATGGATCAAAATAGTCCTCAACTATATTAAATGATCATTTTGATCTCTCAACTTTTTAAAGAGAAATTAAAATAGTCCCACAATGGGATGATTTTTATTCATTTTTAATGACTTGAGAGATTAAAAATGATCATTTAATATAGTTGAGGATCATTTTAGTCTTTATAAAGAGTCAAAGGACTATTTTGGTCCTTTCCCCTATTCCATTTTGTCTTATAAAATTATCATTTTATCTACTATATGCAGTTCTGCTTTTATGTCCCTTGCTGCAAAATTTCCTCTTCACAGAAAAAGGGGAGGGAGGAAGTTCTGAGAGAAAACTGACTAAGGAACATGAAGAGACCTCTACTGATGCCATGGGATGCCTAGACAACATTCCTAGTCTATTTAATTGCGATGCTCAAGATCCTATGGACATTCAGTTAAATGGGCATCCGCTGGAGGACTTGACAAGCCAATCTCACTACATTCAAAATTCTTTTGTTTCCAGTAGAATGGATAATGAAAATGCTATGGTGTTTGATGTGGATGGATGCATTCCTGAACATGTAGCAATCATTTCAAAAGCTTTTCGTGAGAATGCAGAAAATGAATGTAGAGATCGTCCTCGTGTTCTTTCTGAATTGGTAGCATGCTCTAACGTGAACAATTATCATGTATATAAAATGGATGCTGAAAAGGAAGCTACCATCAGTTCTTCAAGCGAGTTAGATGCTCATTTCAGGTTAGAAGAAAACACATCAAATGCAAAGAAAGCAAATTCTGTTGATGAAGGAAAAATTGACTGGGAAGGGTTGAGGAGAAAAGTTGATCCTGAAGGTGGTAAGAAAGAGAGGAGCCGTGAGAGTTTGGACTCAGTAGATTGGTAAGCAGTGCGAAATGCAGATATAAATAAAATTTCTGAAGCTATTCGAGAGCGAGGGATGAATAATTTACTGGCAAATCGAATCAAGGTAAAATCGTTTTGCTTATTTGATTATAAAAAAGGCAAAAACTCTTGAAGAGCACGACAACACTACATCCATTGTTTTTTTTGCTTTCATCAAATTCTCGATAATTTGTTAATTATACATGCAATAGCATGAGCTAGTTCCTTTTTTTTTTCTTGGTATTAGGTGCGTAAATAAAAAAGATTTTGATAGCATTGGGGGTGTTAAAATGGGTTTTTGAGTCAGGTTGGGTCCAACCCGAAATTGACTCACCCTCGACTACACCAACCTGAACCCAACCCAATTACACAAACATGTTAGAAATTTGAACCCGGATCCGACCCACCCCAAATCCAGGTCAATATGTCCCGACATGCGGGCCCAAACGAGTGTAGAGTACAGTCGAGCGCTGCTGGGCGAGAGCGGGATGGTGTCGTGATGCCTCATGCGGGCGGGAGCAGGATGTGATCAAGCTTGCGCGGGTGGGAGCGGACATGTTCATGGAGGTGGATGCAGTTCGATCAAATAGGCTTGAGTTTGTGGACGCGTTGCGGTCACACGGGTCATTTTTCAGGTTGGTGGGTTGACCCGAACCCAACCTGATTTTTCTTAGGGTTAGGAATTAGAACCCAACCTAAACTAGATTTTTCGGGTCGAATTTTCAGGTTAGGGCATATGTTGACACCACTAAGTGACATGTATATATATGTGGGCGAGGTGGGTAGGGGATAGGGGTTTAAACGAGTCGAGTTATGACACTATCAAGCTCAACTCATCAGTTAGAAAGTCAGCTTGAAAAGGCGAGCTCGTCCCACTGTAAACGAGCACACGAGTCGTTCTCGATCCGTAGAGATTTTACGCATGTAGTTGTATTATTCTGCTCGAACGCAATCTCTTCCACACGCATAACAAAGGTTTTACATCAAGTTTGGTTTTTATTATTTTTAAAATTGATTTAAAAAAAAGCTGCACCACATTTATTAAAATGTTGCAGGATTGCTTTTTATTTCTTTTTTCAAATTTGTTAAAAAGGAACCCTAAACAGTATTCTCTATTTTAAAACCGTTGAGATGTAGGGGATACCAAAGTTTTAAACAACCCGAGGGTTGGTTAGTATCTCAGAGTTCCCACCCGATTAAGAAATAGGACTTAGTAACGATCCCATAAGCAATTAAAATAAGTTTAAAAAACAAATAACAAACTAAAAGAAAAAACAAGAACAAAAAGCTAAAAAGGAAAATACAACTTATCAATGACTTCCAGCAATCACCTAAGAATATTTCTGATAGATATTCCATAAAGCTTTTTCCAACTTCCAAAGTCGAAATTCAAAGATAGTATTATGACAAACTTATTGATAAATTGCTCCATCTTCAAGTATCTTTCCCCTTTGTTGATAGAAAAGAGAAAACCAACTTGCATATTAACGAGATAATAGAGAAGAAGAACCTGTCATATCGTTCTTCACTTTGAGTTCAGCCAACCTTCTTCTAGGTAGATCCTTCACCGGTCCTAAGGCTTGAAGTTCTTTGAGCAATATGTGCTTATAGCCGGGAGAAACACTCTTCTTGGCAGAAAAACTTTTTTCTTTCTTAAAAATAGTTTTTTTAAAATTCAAACTAATTGCAGAAGGAGGAGAAATACCTCTCAAACCATCAATAGCTTCTTCTATTTCAGAATATATATCTGAATTAGTAGTAGGAGAAGTTGAGTTATGATCATCAATCACCTTAGATTCAGCCGCTAAAACATTTGAAGTAGGTACAACTTCCTCTTGAATATCTGAAATTATGCATTTAATTTCTGAATTGTGAGCTCCCAACAGATTAACAACATTAGTGGGTTCGGTAGAAACTGCTTCCAACAATTCTGCTTCATTACAAACGGCTCCCTCAACAGCAGTTCCCAACAGACAAGCCACAAAAATGGGGATTTTAGAATTCAAATTCTGAACGGGCTGAACCGACTCCACTATGAAATCTAAAGACTTATAAGCCTCCTCATCTTCCTCAAGAATTTGTTGGATTTGAATTTCCAAATTTTCAGAAGTCATTGGATGATCAACTAAATCAGCAAAAACAACCTTATTTTCAGCAACCAATGTTTGTGAAGGATTGAACTCAAAATTTGAATTTTGAGCAACAAGGCTCAACAATCAAATCTGATTCATGTCTAACAACATTTTCCTCTTCTTCCTTAATTTCAGCATCTTCTCGAGATGCCTATGGATCAACAAGAATTTCTGAACAAGCTTTAACATCTCCTTTCCTAGACTACAGTTTTGACAGTAACACAAATATCATCCGATTTTTCCTTGGTTGAGAAAACATTGGAAACAAATTGCTTTTTCACAGAATTTTTCCTATTTCTATTTTTGAACTTCACATGCATCCAAGGCCCATATGGATTATCTTCAGTTTTAACTAACTGAATGGGACATCTTTAACAAGCAGATTTTGATTATGAGATATATTTGGACAAACAAAATCTATATGTCCAATTCTCCCACATTTGTAATAAAATGATGATAGATTTTCATATTCAAACTTTTGAAAAAATATACCATGAATACCTTCAAACCAAATGCCATAAGGGAGTTTAGAATTCAAATTAACCCGAATGCAGCCTCTAGCAGATTCCCTTCTCCCCCATCTAAATATGTTACCATCTAATAATAAAGGAATTCCAATTCTAGAAACAATTCTAGTTATGTTGGTTTTATCCCAGCAATGTAAAGGCAAATGAGGAAGATGAACCCAAATTGGAGAAGAAATCCCATCCAAGGAATTAGGGGAGAAGTTACGAGACCATTTGTCTAAACCAACAACGAAGCCCCGTACAAACTAAGGACCTCCATTAAGAACTTCTTCCATGGATTCATGTGACTGAAATGAACAAAGTAGCCAATCTAGACCAAACAAGATTATATGAAACCCTCCCTATTTCAACCATTGCTTCTTAATTCAATTGCACACTTAGAAAAATGAAGGTTTTTTCTAAGAATTTTCACAACCAATGAATTGTTCAAAACTTGAACATTAGATTTTTCCTTTTCCATGTCAAGTTTGACAACATTTGCATCTCCAATATCATCTTGAATTTCACTCAATTTTTTTATCCACAGTAGAATTATCCAATCCTGATGAAGTAATTAGATTTTTGATATTAACATTACCATTGACAATATCCTTATCATTCTTCAATATATCAGCAAAACTGCATCCTGTTGAAGAAGCCTCCTTATCATTTACTCCAGAGATGATAACCGGCAAAGGTGATTTTGGTTTATTATCCAAAACCGAAATTACATTTTTTTCCTTTGCCTAAAAATGGCAAAGGATTATGCTCATCAATCAAACCTCCCTCTTTGATAACAAGAGGAGATTCCAAAACCCGAAAAGGGGAGATGCGTTTGAAGGAGAATCTACCTCTTGAATCCAACATAATTGAACTCGCGGTAGATAAAAAATATTTGGTGTTCCGGTCATCCATGGATGAACGGCCACCTTCTTCCATCTCCAACTTTGGCACCCAAAAACCTCCAAATTCTCCTTCAAAATCCTCCTATTTTGTGGACATTTTCTCTCTTCACACCTCTCTCTTTCCACTTGTTTGTGGACCTTTTCAATATGGTTTTTATTTTTTTTTCAATATTATTTAAAAAAAAAAATATTCAACAACAACAATATCAAGCATTTATCCCACTACGTGGCTCAACTACATGAATCTATTTTCTCCATTGTGTCTAGATAAAAGTCAAATTCTCATTTAAATCTAATAAAGAAGGGTCATTTCTAATATTTTCAAACCAAGTCTTTTTAGATCTACATTTACCTTTCTTAACATATATCAAATCTAATACATATACTCTCCTAACATGGTCATTAGAAGGCCACCGTTTTATAAGACCAGACCATCTAAGGCGACTCTCTCTAATCTTATCTGTCGCTAGATCTACTCCAACCTTTTCACGGATATGCTCATTTCGTATCCTATCTCTAAGAGTAAATCCACTTATCCACCTTATCATCCTCATCTCAACAACACTTAATTTAATGTTAATCTTCTCTTATATATATTTCTTTAAAAAACTAATAGTTATTTGAGCCGACTCGCGAGTTCACGAGCCGAGCCTCATCAAGCTCAAACTCGAGCTTGTTTAATAAACAAGCTTGTGGCTCCAAAAGCTCGGCTCGCGAGTTCGAGCCGGCTCGGATCACTAATGCTCCTAGGTGGGGGTTAAAAGTTCATTAGGGTTGTTAAGCCCTTTTGAATTAGCTTCAGGCTAATCAAGAGGGGGGGGGGGGGGGGGAATTTGGGGTTTTAAAATTAATTTTTTAAGAAAAAAACAAAAAAAAAAAAAACAAAATCTTTTTGAATATTTTTTGAATATTTTAAAACAAACAGGATCAACCATTGATGCAGAAGCGATTAACAAAACCAATCAAAGATTTTAAACCATTTAATCAACCATAGAAAATTAAAGTGCGGAAAATAAAAGTGCAAGAATAAAATAGAAAGAACACACTAGTTTTTATAGTGGTTTGGTCAACTTGACTTATGTCCACTCCCCGGAGGCACCCTCCTAATATTGCACTAAAACAGTAGTGTCTCTCCTTTTGCTCCCACAGAAAGGCGGAGAAGCCCTTACAGAATCATTTTTCTCGACCCTGGTGAGGCAAAGAACCTATACTCCTTTTGCTTCTTCCTAAAACAGGCAGGGAACCTCAACTCCTTTTGCTTCCTCCTATTGCAGACAGAGAACTTTAATCTAGTGCTGACAAAGACTTCCTAAGAGCCACCAAGGTGCCAAGGATTACGATTGGAGAAGATGATATAAATTCTTTCTTGGAGCAACTTTTGTGAACACCTCACAAACTCCCCTTCACAAAATTCTCTCTCTCTCCCAAGCTATCCTTCTCCTTCTCTAAGCTCTCTCAGGTCAGGACAACAACAAAAGATATTATAATAAGCAATTGAGAGATCTTATAAAGAAGGCCTTAGAAATTTCTCTAATTTTCAACTTGCCGTCAAAGATTATTTTGGATGATCGACAGATCGTCCTGTACGATCAGTGTATATCAGCCCTTCCAACCAGGACGATTTGGGTTTGTTGTACAATTAGAACACAATATTTATTCTGTTAGTCCAAGATGATTTGTTCATCATCCTGTATGATTAGTTCAAAATCATACAATATCATCCACTAGATAGTTCGGGACGTCCAAGGGATAAATTGAGATGATATAAAAATATAATTGGTCGTTCAGGACGATGCTTGGATTGTCCTGTACGATTAGTTCAAAAATATAACTGGTCGTCCGGGAGATTCAGGAGAAAATTAAGGTTTTTCACACTGATCGTCCAGGACAATCATGAGATCGGCCAGAACAATATGATCGATCAATCTAACTTTAATTATTTTCCTTAATCACCTGACTACTTTATGCATGATTTTAATGAATCGTCCAGGACAATATGGGATAGTCCTGTACGATTAGAACAAAATTCTAAAAATAAAATCTTGCCTAAATGAGTTTGGTAGCTGAGTATTTTTTATTTGAGCATATCGTCAAGGACAATGGCGTATCGTCCAGGACAATTTGCTTAAGCAAGTTTACATGACCCAAATGCCCTAATTAGTGTTTCTGTTATTGACTGATCGTCTAGGATGATATAAAATCGTCCTATACGATATGATCAAAAACAGAAAATCTCTAACTCACTAAATTTCTCCCCTTTAGTGTGTGTGTGCAAGTTTACTTAGCTCCAGGATCCACCAAGGTACATTTGACTCAAGAAAAGTTAAAAAATGCATTGAAATAGAAATTACAGACTGACTCAATCATAGTCTACCTGATCTTGAGCTGATTGATGTTCCAAGCGAATTTGTGGACTTGAAAGGTTAGTGAGCTGGACATAAAATAGATATGCTTGAATGATAGTAGTCAAGGAACAGTAATATTTGTTATCATCAAAATCACAGTACTTGAGTCTTGATCTGCAGCAGGGGTTGCAAACTTGGGCTTGAAACATTAAAAATTAAACTAATTTAATTCAAAGTTTAAGATTATGGATGAGTGTCAACCACTTGGTATTTATACACAAGATGTATTACCAAAGCCCAATACTCTTATGTGCATTGACAATCTCCCCTAATGTGCGGGGTCTGTACATTAGCTGGCTATTACATGATATGTGCAAAAAAATAGGTTAATCTGAAAATTTAAGAGAAACCGACTGAGCCTATCGATTTGGTTTGCTTTGAAGTCTAAATTTTTTTTCTTTGCCAACTAATTTAGTTTGATTTAGGATAGTTTTGCAAAATTGAAATAAACCAAACTGAACCAATTAAGCATGATATATAACTGTAAATTCTATTCATAAATAATGAGGCTTTATTTAATTCATCTTTATGTATACAAGCCTTTTGGATGTTTCTAGAGTTTTGAGTTGGAGACCATTAACAAAGAGTTTTTAAATAACTTTATTTAATTGTATCGAAGTATCTGACAAGTTTTTTTTTTTATGCTGCTCACAGGAAATACCTTCTAAGCATACGGGGATTAGGGCTAAAAAGTGTCGAGTGTGTTCGCCTCCTAGCACTTCAAAATGTGGCTTTCCCCGTAAGGTTCAAATTTAATAGAACAATTTAATTTCAAATATGGGTTTTACTCAATATTATAACGTTCTTTTCATGTTACTATTAAGGTTGATACCAATGTTGCCCGCATAACTGTAAGATTAGGATGGGTGCCACTCAAGCCGTTACAAGAGTTCCTTCAACTACATCTCTTAGAACAGTAAGTGTGCTAATCTTTCCTAATGACATATTTTATTGGAGATTACTAATTATCTTTTGGCCCCACTCCAGATTCCATCCCAAAAGTGATTATGAATTTGAAAACATTATTAATTTATTGTTCATTGCAATCATTCTAATCTTTCATGGTATTTTAATAGGTATCCTATAGAGGATAGCGTGCAGAAATATATTTGGCCACGTTTATGCAAAAAAAACTCATTTCCAAAATATGTTTTTATTGTAGTACATTGATTCAGAAAATGATTTTTAATTCTTTTTGAGAAACTTTGTCTTCTTTTTAATAATTTCTTGACTATTAGTTTCTTATATAGAAGTTTACCTTGTCTTACAGATATGAGCTACATTATCACACATGATTACTTTTGGAAAGGTAAATTAATTGGTATGTTTATATGAGCTACGCCTACATATCAAATTACTTTGTTGCTTTTTGTAATAGGTTGATTGTTTCTTTGAGTTTCATGCAGGTATTTTGTACAAAAAGCAAGCCAAACTGTAAAGTTTGTCCAATGAGAGGAGAGTGCAAGCACTTTAATAGGTATGGATTTCTTTTCTAGTTAGAAAGTCTGAAATCGAGGAATGGATAATTATTCATTTTTAACCGTTTTTTAGTTTGGTGATTATGAACATTATTTTGATCCAGATTTTGTAGCTACGCTATTCAGTTCGAAATAATGAAGTTGAATTGTTGCGATAAATGAAGGAATCTTATCTTCAATGGCACACTATTGACTAAATTAAAAAAAAAAACATGAAAGATGAAAAAAAATTCAAACATGAAACAAGAAGGAATGCTCTGAGCCTGCATGCGATCTGAGCTCATGAGACTTGTGCTGGTATGCCTCTGCATCCCTTACACCGACCCCACTTCATAAAATAAATGTAACGCTCCTCACGTAACATCCACTTATGGAATATAAAACAATCACAGTCCGCTCTCCCCATTCAAACACATGCCCACTCGTCTCTTTGTGCAGCTCATAGGAGTTGAAACCCCTCGTCTCCCATAGCCGCGTGCAAGAAGACTGATCCCAAGCCAACGACTGTACTACTTGTTCCATTCACGTTGGCACCTTATTCTGATCTTGAGTCAACCCTTCCGCACATCAGCTCCACTCCTTTGTGCGCAATCCACATTGGCGCCCTGCTTCGATCGTTCGCACCTAAACTTTAGGTCCACACGAAGTCGCATGATTGCCCTTCCGTTTCTCCTCTTCAAGCGTGAACTCCTGCCTTGATTCGTTCAATCTCGTAATTCAACTACTTCGTCACAATTTCAACTCTATTTTTAAATGATCTTATTGTGTATGTATGTATACAAATAGGAACATGTTCGGTAGTCCATCATTGTCTCGCCTCTAATATGATTGCTCGTGAATCTTTGTAATAAAAATATATAGTTTAAAATAAATAAAAATAAAAAATTTATGAAGCAACAGATGCCGACAAATCGCAAGACCCGCGTCGTCGATCTTAGATCTTATTAGGATAAAATCCAATCCTAAACCTTGTGCCTTTGATCTTAGATTTGGTCGGGAAGTAATTATCGATATGATTGCACGCGCATGGGGAGAAGCCGGGATGTGCTAAAATTACCCTAGAAGACCACCAATTGGAGAGAAATCAAATTTTAAATTTAATTTATTAGTCCAATTAATCAACTGATTAAATTTAATTTATTAACTCAATTAACCAACTGATTAAATTTAACTTATTAACTCTATTAATTAACTGATTAAATTTAATTAATGAAAATTAATTAATTGAAATAAATAATCAAAGAAAATTAATCAATTAATGGAAATTAATTGATTTATTAAAAATAATTAATTAAAATCAAATTGATTAATTAAAATTGTTTGATCAAAATTAATCAATTGATTGGAATTAATTAATTATATTAATTAATGGAAATTCATTAGTTAATTAGAATTAATTAATTAAAACCAAATTAATTGAATGATATTAATTAAATAATGTTAATTAATTAATCAAAATTAATTGATTTGCTGAAATTACTTAATTGAAAATAGTTAAGATTTAACTAAAAAAACTCCTAGCCAATCCTCAAAATCCCAATGATCCCACCTCGTCTAGCGGCTTGGAATGTGAGAGGTTTCAACAGCCCGGATAAGGTTAGGGCGTGCAAAGACTTAGTCCGTGATTGCAAACTTGAGTTACTTTGTGTCCTGGAAAATAGAATTCATGCAAGCTCTTTCTCCGAACCTTGGTTTCGTCTTAACCACTGTGTTTTTGAGAATGAGGAAAGCTGCCATAATTTTAACCTATCTTCCTCGGGTAGGATTTGGATTAAATGGAATCCGCTCCTCCTCAGTTTCAGACCTTCCCATTACACTACTCAGCTGATTTCTGGAGATCTTTACAGGGGGCAAGACCATCTTTGTGTTCTTATTGTTGTCTATGCTTCCAATTCTTTGGGTGACCGCTTACTTCTTTGGGAAAAACTTAGAGAAATTGTGAATCTTATCTGTTCCCCTTGGCTCATTCTTGGTGATTTTAATTGTTGCTTATATGCTGACGAGAAATCAGGTGGCACTCCTCTCCTGGCCACCTAACTCTTGGATTTTAATGCTCTTAAGTTTGACTTGGGGTTGTTGGATTTATCCTCCAAGGGCCTTAAATTTACTTGGTTTAATCAAAGGGCTAATGACCCCATTCACTTGAAGCTGGATAGAATGATGATAAATGATAAGTGGCTTGAAGCTTTCCCTTCCACTTACTATGAGGTCCTTTCTCCCGCTTGCTCGGATCATTCCCCGATTATCCTTTTTTCAGACCAGCAAGCTATGTTGAAACACAGATTCGTTTTCAAAAACTACTGGACTAAACAAAATGGCTTTTGGGTCGACCTCCTAAATATTTTTTCTCTACCGACACACGGGAACCCCATCTTTGATCTGTATAGAAAGTTGAAAATGCTTAAAGTGAGCATTAAGGATAAAGACTGGGCAAACTCTAGCTTTCTCTCCAATCAACTTGTTATTCTTAAAGAGCAGCAATCTCAGTGCCTTGGTATGTTAAATATTGATCCTCAAAATCTTGATCTCAACTATCAACTGAAATCAATCAACTCTCAACTTTCGGATTGTTCTGAGTCTTGGACAAATTGGCTTCTTCAAAGAGCAAAACTTAAATGGCTTTCTAAAGGAGAGGATGATTTAAAGTTCCTTTATGCTAGGCTTAAGAAGAGAAGGAATCATAGCTCCGCAACTCTGGTTGCTAGTGAAGACCCTACCATTAGGCAAGATCTGATAAATTCTATTACTCAACACTTTGAGAAATTGTTCAATGCTCCCCCTCCAGCAAATACTTTGGAATCTTTATTTATTCCCAAAGGTAATGTTATTCCATCTCATTTATCTCATTTGCTGACGGTTAATGTTTCTGATGATGAGATTAAGGAGGCTATTTTTCTTGGGAGCTCCAACTCTTCTCCTGGCCCGGATGGATTTAACTTTGAGTTTTATAAATCCACTTGGCTTATTACGGGCCCTTTGGTGTGCAAAGCTGTGAAGTCTTTTTTCTCAAAGGGGTACCTTCCTAAGATGGCTAAAGCTACTGCCATTGCTTTGATTCCCAAATCCACTCATGCTTCCAACATTTCTGACTATAGACCCATTGCTCTTTGCAATGTTTTCTACAAGATTATTTCCAAAATTCTAGCTTCTAGAATGAAGGAAATCATGCCTTTTATCATTGGGAACAATCAAGCTGGCTTTATCAAGAAACGCATTGCTACTGATAATATCCTTCTAGCTACTGAAATCCTCTCTGAGTTCAAAAAGTCTGCCAAAAACAATTTAATGTGTGCCAAGCTGGATATTCGTAAGGCTTTTGATTTTGTTTCTAGGGCTTTTATTTTATCCAGAATGAAACAAAAAGGCTTCCCTTCCTCTTTTATCCATTGGGTCAAGGCTTGCATTACAGATGTCCATTTTTCTATATGCATAGATGGGGCGTTGGAAGGCTATTTTAACTCATCCTCTGGCATTAGGCAAGGCTGCCCCCTCAGCCCTTATCTCTTCTGCATTGCTATGGATGCATTTTCCTGTTTGATTGATAATGACGCTAATCAGAATAACTTCATTGGGTTTCAAAAACATGGCGTGAACATTTCACACTTACTTTATGCGGACGACCTCCTAATTTTTGGGGAAGCATCTCTTAACAATTGTGCAGCTCTTAGAAAGATTCTTGACATCTTTGCTAAAGTTTCTGGTCTTTTGGTGAACCATGAGAAGAGTCAGATTATAATTTCTAGCTATATTTCTAATCCCATGGATGTTTGTGAGGCTCTTCATATGCCCTCTTATTGTTTCAAGATGTCTTATCTTGGATTGCCTATTTCGGTTAAGAAATGCTCTAAATCTGACTTTCTTCCTCTTATGCATTTAATCGCAAATCACCTGGCTGGGTGGAAAGCCAGACTACTATCCATGGGGGGAAGGCTTCAATTCCTTAAATATACGGTTTGCAATACAATTGCCTATTGGATAAGAGGGTCCATCATCCCAAAACCTTGTATCAAAACACTTAGTAGAATATGTGCCAAATTCTTGTTCTTTGGGGATCCCGAGGCCAAAAAGCTTCATCTTATCGCCTGGAAGAGAACCTGCAAACCTTTCATGCTTTTCCGAATTTGAATCTGCAAGTTATTTTCAGTCACTATGCAAAGGTTTCTGATTTTCTGGATGTGGATGGCTGGCATCCTCTGTTTTCTAATATTGAGGGATTGAATAATGCCTTGGAGCCTTTGGGGATTAATCCTGATGCAAAGAATGTTATTTACTGGAAGGATAGGAAAAATCCTGTTTTTTCGTCTTTCCTTCTGCATTTTTACAAAGATGACGCAATTGTTGATTGGTATAAGTATGTTTGGCATAAACACTCAGCCATTAAATATGCCATTTTTTCCTGGACTGCTCTTAACGGGGGGCTGAAAACTGCGGATGAACTAAGAAGGAGATCTATATTGGTTCCCCCCAACGGTGTGCTGTGCTTTTCACACAATGAAACCAATCCTCACATTCTTTTTGAGTGTGACTATGCATATTCTGTCATTTGTAAATTAATTCCTGAGCTGGGAGAGTTTCTTTTACGTCCTAGGCTGTACCAAGTTCTTCAATATTTGGGGGATAAGGCTATTACGATTAAACATCAAAAGGATTTACTTTTACTTACTTCCTCATGTGCTGCTTACTGTTTATGGAGGGAAAGAAATGAACGAAGGTTTAACTTTAAGTTTAGAGATGTCAATACTCTTTGCAATATTATCAAATATGCGGTTGAGGCTAAATCCTCTACTTGGAAGCACAAAGAGAATCTGAAATTCCCTTGGAAACCATAATCTGCATCTTTTCTATGCCTTGCTGGAGACGGGAGAAATTTTGCCTGCTGTTTGCGACATATTGGCTGATGGCTTATTCTAATGCTATGAGGAAATGTCATTTTGGTATTCTTGTTTGTATCCTCATTGCCTGGAACGTTAATTCGGATTGTGGAATGTATGGATGCCTGCAAGCTGTTCTGGAATTTTGTTGTAATCCAAGCTTTTATTCGGATGGAATACTGGGGCTTTGCTGGATTGATGATTTTGGAGGCGCAAAAGAATGGACGATGATGTAGCTGCTAATCCTCTCCTTCGACGGCCTTTTTGGCAACCAGGAGAGTACTCTTCATGTCGCTTGGATGGTTTTTGGACGGTTTAATTGATTAGCAGT